CTCGTCCTCGGAGGCCGACGCGTCCTCGTCAGGCAGCAGCGTGGACAGCAGCAGCTCCGCCACAAACAGGCTCCTGTCGGCCCACTGGGCCTCGCACGCCTGCCGCTCGGCCTCGGACAGCCGTGGTTCGCTCAGCCTGTGGGAGAAAGATTCAATGTGTTGAAACTGAGAGGAAAGCAGATAAATAAATGATCATGACAGTGAAGATTAAAAAGAACAGATTAAAGTACAGTAAAGGTCAACATGACATTGGAAGAAGATGCAGAAAATAAAAACGATAGTCTCACCTGCTGAGTAGAAACTGGGAGCTATGTGCAGTATGCTGAGCATTCGACTCAGGTGGACCCGGGTTTGGACTGGGGTTGGTGTTGTGGTTGGCGCTGGAGTTGGAGTTTGTGGCGGCTGAATTAGTATTGAGGATTGCATTAGCTCTGCCTCCGCCCCGGGTGGCGTTTCGGGCCGTCTCCAGCTGCTGACGCGCCGCCTGGGCCTGCTGGCGCTCCAACTGGAGTTGCATTTGAAGCTGTTGGAGCTGAGAGGCTGACGGGCCAGAGCTCAGTTGGCCGCCCGCTGAACGCCGCACCCCTGACAACTGGGACAGAAGCTCTGGAGGAACAGGATGGAGAGGAGATGTCAGATATGATCATAAAGTAGGTCGCCCAGTTAACCAGATGGCTCTGATGAAATTTTAATCAAATAATATGAAGTAAAACTGGTCACATTGTTTTCCCCTAAAAACTTGCGATTCCGAGTCACAAAGCTATAATTGAGCAATGGTCTATAGAGACCACAGATATTGTCTGATCTGCATTCAATAACACTATGGCACAAGAGACACAGTAGGTACAGTACAGTGTGTGCAGTATGTACAGAACGATAAGATCAGTGAGTTTTTTTCGTCTAAAACTCCTCAGGTCAGCTGAACCAACAGCCCCTGCAGGTATCACAGGTCATGCAGGAGGAGGCTGTGCTCTGTTTGTGAGGCAGACTGAACGAGGACCCTGATTATAGCACTGCTGGAGCTGACATGGTGAATGCCGGGCACCGAAGCGAATCAAAATTGGGAACAGTATAAACAAGAAAGCGCCACATCAACAACTCTGCCCACACGTTACTTTATCATCCACGGCATGTTGAAGTTCACACTGACACACGGACCATGTGTTAGGAAAATACTAAACGTGTCCAAATGTGGGATTTCTCATAGAAACGCTGCTAATTCATTTTGATTATGGTGACGTCATACACTACCGTAATGCATTTTGATCCTGTGCAGTAGGAGTTGAGAAAAACTTTTCATGTGGCACGGCACATTATCCATTATTACATGGGTGCTCTCTCTACCCATGCACTGACCCCGGCTATCTTCGAAATTTTATCTCAACTACACACCTCTAAATTTGTGACTGCCCCAGAGGGAGCACTATACGCGTCAGCATGTGTTCACCATGCAACCATGTCTTTACTGTGTGTGTGCGCTGTGTGACTGACCTGCTATGGGGTCCATGGCCTCTCTGCTGTAGTTGGAACTCTGTGAGGAGCTCTGACTAGTGGAGAGCCCCCCTGTGGTGCTGCTGGTGAAGTGCATGTTAGACCTGCGGGCTCGTGGACCCCCCAGCCCGCGCCCTGGGTGAAACATCCTCCTCACATGTCGCACCCCACTGGATTCATCGTGAATCAGCCGTTAAGGAACATATCAGGAACATCAAGCTACTATCGTACTTATTACAATTGCAATCGTTTAGATGATTTTTTTAAAATAATGCTTTGTCCAAAGAAACATTGAAAACAGTGACACCACAGCAGTACCTAGCAGATATTTTTGAATTTTTCCTTGAAGTCTTAAATTGCTTTAGATCAAAAATTACTTATATAATGCTGAATTCACTCAGGCCTTCAGAAGCAGCTTCTAACATATTTGCATGATGCTCACATGTCACATAGATTCACTCATTCTGCCCGTGTTTCATTTAACTTTATGTTTGCATATTTTTTTCGTTCTTCACCACAAGTATTTAAATATTATGAGTACATCAATGGGTCATCATTCCTCCTCCAGAGTATTCCAGCTGGTTCACAACAGATAAAAGCACCTAATGTCATTTCAACCCTTGATACAGTTAAATAAACAACATGAAGTAATCCTCACATCAGCTAAACCCTCTTGAAAGGTTTTCCTCTCTGTGGCTCTCTTGAGAAATGTGTAGACAGAAGCTCACCAACATACTTTTAGGTAAAGACCTGAACAAACTCTGCTACATAAACACATGCAAATATGTGTGTGCTATAATAAGCCCAATCCTGTTTTTTTGTCTGCACTGTTTACATTGTTTGCAGCTTTCACTTTCACTGGCACATAATTACTTTTTGTGCCCCCAACTGTTAGTGCCTTCTGCATTTGGAAGAAATGTGCGTCACCTCACTGCAGTGTTGTTAGAAGGCCAGGTGGCAGGAGATGAAAACAATGCAAACACATCGAGGACACAACAGTTCAGATTTCTCTCCTGATATTTATACTCACGGTATCTGTCCATACCGAAAACCAATCCAATACAAATGTTCAAAACAGAATCTTCCTACATCTAAAATCTGAATACTTGAAACATTTAAAACAATCACATTTAGTCTTTGACTTCATTTACCACAGCTTTTGTTTTGGAGAGCCACTTCCAAAGGACGAGAGAACAAACAACGCCACACAAGTAGATTTGAAGTAAAACCTGAAGATGATGCACTTGGCCTCCACTTTGCACCAGAGACAAACAGCGTGTAACTAACCATTCAATCTGACTGAAGCCCACTTACTTGATTATGTCACAACAGCATGAGACACATTTTAATTGAAAATGCCACAACAGCCGAGAAATCGTTACTGCACATTTTATCATCTTGATATTTCCCTCACCGCCGTGGTCATTTGGGGAATGAACAGAAGGGGCTTTAATGTTATTAGCAAAATGTCAACAAATGTCAGTTGCAGTGAACAGCTGCCCCCCTAGTGTGCTAATCTATAAACTGACAAAGAAATATGAATAACTCAAACAGCGTCATTTCTTTCATGTAGCATAATTGTAGGTTATGATGGTATCTGCGGTAGTGCTACTACTACTTGAAAAGGATATCAAGTCTCTGGGTGCTCTGTGTTCAAGTGTGAGATGAGCAGCAAAGTCATCTGTCACATGATTCGGGTCGCCACCCGGCAGCGCTGCACATATGGGGCAGATCTAGAGGACAGGAAGAGAGGGGGGGAGAGAGAGAGAGAGAGCGTACAAGTCATTATCAACACACTTCACTGCACATTCAACATTCGCCAGTCGGTGCTGCATCGTTTGGAGCAAACACTCATATCAGTGCATTTCTGAAATACAAATCTGTGATTCAACACGAAGAGCTGTGGCTCTGTGACGAGTGTGTCAAAGCTCCGACTGATGTGAATTGACGTTGGAGGCACGGATTGATTTTATGTGTTTGACGGTTTAGGAAAATGATAGAAAATACGAGCTGTGAAAAGAATCATGTGTTTTTCATTTTAAAAGGCTGAAAGTGGGATTTTTCGGCTGCAGTTGGAGACAAGTTGTTATTCATCCTCAGACATTAATTGACTTGTCTTTTTCTCATGAATTGTGACTCACTGAAAACGCCATTACTACATAGCTTCAGGCTATTTAATATGAGTTATTACTGACAACTACTTAAGAACCGCAGAGGTGGGTATTAAATTATTTCACTGAACAGTTCATTCGGCAATATTTTAGCAAATAGCAGCAGTTTGAACACCTTAATCTTAGTGCTCTTTAAGTAACTTAACTCAATCAACTAAATAATGAAATAGCTTTAATAGAACTATTAGTCAAACTGTGGTTAATTTATGCATCTAGACTAATCAAAATGTCATTTAATATTAATTGTTTGGACGTCTCTTGAGCAAGTTACCAATATATTGTTCTAAAACGAATGGAAATCAGATATTCTTCTTTATACGACATAAATGGGTGATTAAAAAAAACAATGAATATATATATATATAAAGACAACTCGACTGTCTACCTGACATCACTTACATTGTCAGAAGCTGAAATCAGAAGTAACGGTGACATTGGAGCAAGATGATGAATGAGATGTAAACATTCAACAGCATTTTTTTTTTTAAATCTAGAGCATGCGAGGTGAGTCACAAAAACAAATGTAAATGTTTCCAGGTGTGGAGGATCCAGCATCAACTTACCACTTCTGTGGAGGTCTCTGTGTGCTCTGCAGCCACGTGCTCCTGCAGGGAGATCTCCGTGTAGCCCATTCTGCCACAGTAGGGACATGTGAAGGCCTGGGGCTGCTCCACTGAAAACGCTTCACCTCCGTAGTACAAGTCTGAGGAGAATCGAGGGGTATTTAGTCTAAAAAAACACAATAGCATGTGTCATCTGCAAGATAATTTCAGGTGCAGGGACTTAAAATGATTCTCTGACATACAATCAAAGTTTTATCACAGCTGCCACAGAATCATGAGCCATTTTCAGACATAAGCTTCGGAAACTGTCCATTCTCGTGACAGTTTATCTCAACATTGTTTATTTCATGAAGACAATAACAAACTGAAAATACGTAAAACCACAACCGCAAAAACAAGTACTTTCCTTGTGAGGTCGTACCTTCTGTTGTGTTTTCAGCGTTTTTTTTTTGTTTTTTTTTTTTCTATCACACTGGAAAACAGTATGTCCAATGTGTGAAAGGTTGAACAACACATCACACAGTGCCAAGGCATAAAAACACAATAGAAGCAATCATTCACAAGCAAGACTATTTCTACACAATCAAAATGACCTGAGATGATACCACATCATACAGATTAAATATTAATAGCAACTGAACTCATCACCGGCACTACATTGTGTAGAGATAAAACAAATCCAAAGGCACAACAGCACACACCCAAATACCCCTCAGGCTGTCAAGGTCAAATCAATCACTGCTAAGCCAGTTTTGGAGCAGCCTTCCTATCAGAAAACACACTCGGGTGCTAAGAGAAGATAACATCAACTGGAACTGATTCATTAAAGCCACTGAGTCTCTCAAAGTATTAGGGGCTTATCATAATTATGACATGACGAGAATCAACACGACTGACATGTGAGCAGTGTTTGTTTACAAAATATTGAAAAGTATTATAAAGAACCAAGTTTTAAAAAAACCCAATACAATTGTAAAAGTGCCAGATAAACTGTTTAGGAGGCCAATCATTACCTCGGCCGAGACGATGTCTACACCTGTGTCTGTTGCTTTGTTTAATTGTTCACAGGATTGTGCAAAATGCTATAAGGCCCAGACAACTGTGTGTAGGATTGTTCTAAACAATATTTGTCTTTAAACTGGTTTACTGCCCACTGCACAACTTGAATGAACAGCCCACTGTCTAAAGATGAAGAGAAACATTTTTCTATTAGTTCAGTCTTGATTATAATTGACTCACAAGTGACTCTGAGAATCAGTTTATAGATACTGGGTGTTTGGTTTGTAGAGCTGAACTTTAGAGAGGCAGCATATGTTCCTACATTGTGCTCAACATCTATATTCTCTTGCCAGGTTGTCAATTGGTAATCAACATCTCTCTATAGAAGGAGAGGCAAATACGAACCTAATCAATCACAACATGAAGTATCTTAACATTGGACAACAGACATCCCATAAGGACACATAGGCACTCTACCCATTATTAGCCTGATATGAATTTTAAGTGCACTTACCAAAGTCAACCCGGGTTAATATACACTGCATGGGATGCTCTGTGGTGTGTCTGGTTGTCGTCGCACCACTCTCGTAGCACGACGCGCACAGATCATAGTCGTAGCAAATTAAACATTTGTATCGTCGACCTCTGAAGTTGCCTTTTAAACATGCATCACAGCTCACACCTGAGGGGACAAAGAGAAGTGACAAGGGAAAGCAGAAAACAGGAGTTAGATGTTAAATATTTATCTTAACTTCACTTAGGCTTGAAAAAGCCCAGCATATTTAACAAGTTATTAAATGATTCTAGAATACAGTTTTGTATATGTTTTTTGATTTTGTATTCATGTAGATGATATAAACAAATCACTTGCAACAACTTATTACGTCGCATGTGTTCGTTAGTATTATATAAGAAGTCCCAACTTAGGTTCTCTTAAAAAGACAAATATTAACTGAGAAATGTATTCTTATAGTAAGTCATTCTACTAACTACAACATGGTATATTTCAAAACATACCTATTGAGGAATTATACAGAATAATTTTACAGCTGCAGTACAAATACAAAGACTAATAGTGGTGAAAAGTTGAGTTTTCATTGTGAGAATAAAGGATCTGAAAAATTTCCAGCTTAAGCCCAAACAAATAATTCAAATCCTTCGCATTTGTCTATTTTGAGTTTGCCAGAATAAACCAGATCACTACTGCATGAAGGTAACACCTGCAACATCTAAAGCAATCTCACAAAGACACTCGGGTATAAATAAGACATCTGTCTACAGAAATGTTGAGTTCTGAGACGGGGATTTAACTCTACTTGCAGTGCTGTGGTAGCGTATAGGACAGCAATATACTCTCAAGTGTTTAAAGTACATTTGTTGGAACATGGGTGATGAAAATCTGTTTCCTTTTGTTCAACTGTAACACAATGAGAAGGCTATGTCCTAAAAATGTTTGTGTCCTTTAACTCAGGCCTTACCACTAGACTTATAGACCAGTGCCCGTTTAATTTAACCTTTTAATTATATATCTTTATAGATGTTTTTGTATTTAGCACTAAAAAAGGAAAAGAAAAAACTTTGTACACTGTATTTTGTACTATTTTCTATTTTAATATAGATTGAAAAACAAAATAAGAGTTTCATTAAATGCTGTAAACTATGTTTATTTGCTATATATATATATGACAATAAACATCTTGAATCTGAATCACCCAGATCATCCACACAGGCATCATCATCATCATCATCACTAAATACGCGTCAACACCATGTAGTACAGGTTTCCTCTTATGTGTCACATGAGGTTAAGGGGACCCTCTATCTTCCAGTCCCTATATGTTCTGTGATTGACTAGGACAGCCTCAGTGTATTGTATGACACCAGGCTGTCTAAACTCCCTCATATTTCCATTCATAGCTAGCAAGCTGTGAAAACTTGAACCGGATCTAGCTGAGCAGCCACTGACTATTCAATCAGCACAGATTAATAACTGGATCCACACAGAAATAACTGGATCCTCACAGAAATAACTGGATCTTCACAGATAAATAACTGGATCTTCACAGATAAATAACTGGATCCACACAGATTAATAACTGTATCCTCACAGATAAATAACTGGATCCTCACAGATAATTTAAAAAACCTGGATCACCACTGACAGCAAAGTTGACAACAACACACACAGAGGCCGCCCGGGCCCTGACTCACCTTCGCTGCTGAACACGCAAACAAATACACCCAGCTGTCGTTAGCTTGGCTGTTAGCTGGCAGGCTAATCGGCTGTGGTGGACTTTACCTAACTCCACTTTGCCAAATGTTCACTGACGTCTGCTTTGACACCGACACCGCAACTTCCAGTCCAGCAAGGTTGGCCGCAAGGACGGAGGTGGACGTTGGTTTGCTAAAACGTTAGCTCGGATAACTGGCATCCAACAGGGCCAACTTTAACCAGGAAGGAGGCAAAAAAAAAAAACTAGCTTGAATAAACGATGTGACACGGTTCGATGCCGCGACGCCACCTGGAACCCGCCGCTCTCCTCTGTTCTCGGCACTCCCCCTTCACGTTAACCTACATTACCCACCACCAAGCTAGCACGCTAGCTAGCAGCACTTAGCTGGCGTCCACTAGCCTCTGCTGTGCATGTTGTGTATTTCATAAAAACACACACGTCCCCTGTAACGTCCGCGGGTGTCAGACAACACGTTTCTGTGTCGAACCCCCCGCGACACGAACTCCCGCCGCGACCCCTCTGCTAACACCATGCTAACACCGACGTTAGCAAAGGCTGCAAAACAAGAAATTGTCGGCTAGCTCACGTTAGCTACCGCTGCTTTGCCTTCGCTTTTTTTTTTTTTTTTTTTTTTTTAAATGGCTAAATCGTGACCGGCTCGCGCCCGGTGCTCGGGTGAGCTCTTACCCTCATGTCGGGACATCCTCCCGGGCGGTAACGCAGCCCCCTGCTCGGGCTCCGGGGCTCGCGGTGAAGAATAGTGACGGAGAAGAGAAGAGAAGCCGGGGCTGCCTGGCTCTCCCTGGCCTCTTCCCTCATGAAGGATCCGGTCTGGCTGGCTGCCCCCCTCCGCCTCCTGCTGTGTCACTGTCCGGTGTGGCGCTGCTCGGTCCGCACGGTGGCGCTGCTGTCTCACGGTGGAGCAGTGGATGACGAGGCCTGGGTGAGTAAAACCTCCCCATCGTTATGTCTCCCTGTCACCTGATGGAGCTCCATGACTAAATACACCCCCAGCTAATAGTGATACAGTCTAATACAACAGACCTGCACATCTGTATAAAGTCAACTTTACTGTCAGTCCTGCTGCATGTGCAGGACGTAGACGGGTTGATCCCCGGTGTGCACATCTAAGTGAGTGCAAAAATACTTGATGGGAAGTAACGTAATGTACATTCACAGATAGCAGCGGTTGTAGTATGATAGAAGGTCTAAGATCATAATCAGATGTCTTGACCTCCGCTGTTATCCGTCTATTTTTTTGGTTGGTTTGTTTGTTTGTGAGCAGAAATATGCAAAAACTGCCAAGCAGATTACCATGAGACTTGGTGGAATGATGCATTATAGGTCAGGGAAGACCCCATAACTCAGTCGCTGGGTAAACAAGAATTCTGCATCAGGGAGGTTATATTTCCCACCCCTGTTTGTTTGTTTGTTTGTTTGTCAGCAGGATTTCACAAAAACTACCAAACAGATTCCCATGATACTTGGTGGAAGGGCGGGTCATGGGCCAAGAAAAGAACCCATTTCATCTTGGGCTGGATCCGCAAAAAGTCACTGATCCAGTAATCTTTTATCTTGTGAGATGTTTTTTAACATTTTCATGGATTTCCCAGGGAATAATTCATGGATCTTGATGGGAAACAAACAGGCACATTTAGGGGACTGATATCTATGAGTGTGTGCAGTTTGGTGTTGCTTGACTGTCACACCTTGGTGAAGGTATGAGCTCTCCCCTGAGTTGTAGTTGTAATCGTGTCTTGATTCAATAGTTGGTCAGTTTGGAGGCTGAAGTTTGTGGTGGTGAAGAAGTAAGTGCGTCAGAACAAGGTTTCCCTGGATGAGGATCTTTAAGTTACACTCTTTCTGCTCTCCACACAGAGCCGCCTGCGTAGGTCTGCATGATTATTTTAATATTGCACTGTACCTCATTGTTGGGTCTTGCCAGGCAGACCTTGTAAACCAGGAAAGCTCAGACAGTGCAGAATCAAACTTACACTCAGTCTGGGCAGCTGGTTAAGGACTGTGGATGGAAAGAATAACAATTCTCTTGCATTAGAAGCGACTTTGTCTTAAATACAAGATCCAGTGTCTAACATCAGGTCCGTCCGACAGACTTATTCTGGGAATTCTTTGTGCTTCTTTTGACAAGCTGCAGACATTCTGTCACTCTAAGGTTCAGCTAAGTACAGAGCAAAAATGAAAGGAGGGAGGCAATGTAAATTGTAAAAGTCTGACAAGATAAACACGTGTTTGTCCCAAAACAGAATTGAGGTATATTGTAAGCAACAGGGATTATTCTTCATGTTTACCCCCAAAGTGGAGTGTTGTATTACTTTTGCAAATTTAAAGAGATCTAAATAAGTTCCATGCAATGCAGCCAATTGGATTTTCTGTAAAGGTTCTGCTGCAAGAGAACTGTAGGGTTCTGTCTGAATGGACCGATATTTTATAAATGATGATATTTGAGTATTTTGTAAGAAACTCTGCAGCCGTGGCCGTCACGTTCAACCAATGAGATTTGGGTTATTCTATCTCCTGATCACCTTTATCCTTTATCGGCCTTTGCTCTATTTTCTGTCAGTAGTAAGTCAACAGGAAAGTCTCCAAATGGACACAGATATCAGAATGGTTGTGATGAACCAGCCCGTGACTTTTCCTTTTGTATCCTATAGAGGCACATTGTCTGCATTGAAAAGCTTTGGTCCTCCGTGAGCCTGCACAAGAAATTAATCACCAGATGAATTGCAACTGACCGATCAAGGACTGGTACAGTTACAATGTCATCACCATCCTCACCAGTGTCTTCCCATGATTCATATTCACACAACATATCCTGACATGTAACGACAGCAGCCCTGCAGACATCACTGATGTCCATGAACAAATCATTTGAGTGAGAGTGAGCGAGCAGGAGGGATTAAACTGAACTGTATCACCTCACCAGATGAACTGTAGTGCCCTCTGTCGTTGCAGCATTATGTATATTATGTTTATTTATACACCAGAGCTTGACCCAGCGCCAAAAATAGGATGTTATTTTGGATGCTCCTGTATCAAGCACAGCCGCACTCTCATCCTTTGAAAAATACTTTTTTAATCTCTTATTTCTGGTTATGTCCGTGCAAGTCACAGTGAATCTGGCAACACTGAGAAGACTGAATATGGACTGGACAGTATAAATTGAGTGTCACATTGTAGTGCCTGCATGTTGCTGTTCTCTGCCAGCGTCACTCATCTTCCTATCACTCAACCACCTGCCTGCAGGTTTACATCACAGGACATAATCCAAATAAAGAAAACGTATTCATGATATATGGCAAATTTCAGCAGAAAACATCATTGTGCAGCAACCTGGGGGGCAACCAAAGATTGTAGGCCTTGCAGTGACCTGGTAAACCCACAGTGCACATTGTAACCAGCAGTATGACTGTGTTTGCAGAGATGCATACAGAGGCTGTGTAGATTCAGAGTACCAGGAGCTGCTGGGGCGGCAGGTGACACTTCCTACTGCTGGGCCTGATGCATGTACACACACAGTGCTGTTATTGTTGCAGGGACCCTTGCGTGAGTGCGTCCATTCTTCGCCTCATCAATTGAAACTGGTCGGTGAGCTAAACTGATGGCTGGATGCGCGCCAGGCACAGGGCACGATGCTTTCATGGGGGAGGGAGCCTCACCATTCCTTCCCCCCCACACACACAACACGGCCCTGAGCCTTTTAAATGTTCCCATACACCCGCTGAGGGGTGCTGAGGAGGGTTTCCCACGTATGGAAATGAGCAGAAGGAGATTATGTTTTATTGTTTTGTGGTGAAGGAATCATACCGTGGCGCGTATTGTGTATTCTGCGGAGACCGATAGGAGGATCTGTCAGCGCCTCTCTTGAGACTCTCAGGCTGTAAAACGGTTATTTATTTACACATTGTTCTCACGCACCGTGGCAACAAAGGTAAATGACCTTCATACAACACTAAAGCTACAGGATACGTTTTTTTTAAGTCTGCTTGCGTCAGCCTTACACGCCCAGCAAAAACCACGCGCAGCCTACTACGAGTTCATTCATTTTCGCCACGCCTTCAACGTAAACAAATGGGGGCTTGACCAATAAGATCCACGATAGATCAGCCGATGATCAGATGACTGAAAAGGAGAAACTATTTAAAACTCTAATGACACCCTCCCGGCAAGTTTACACGTCTCTCCAGCGGCTCATCCATAGAGGCGCGCACCGTAACGCACCACCGGCTCATTCGCTCGCTCTTTGTCGCCACTGAATCCGATCTCATCCACTTTTCCCACCGCGCCGCCGACAGAAAACCAGCAACACAAAGACACATTATATTTCCCAAGGAGCTTCCGAATCCATCTACACTCGTGTGGGACTGAGAGATGAATCACAAAACCCCTATACTGTGGATTTTCCTCCAGTGTGCCGCTGCGCTATTCTCCCCTGCTCTTGGAGAAAACGGCGTCCTTAAAGGTAAGAAAGGCTTTGTGCACCACTCTCCATTCATCACTACCATTTATTCATTTCCTAGCTTTAAAAGGGGGAAGACTTAAAACCTAACATGGCATGCGTAAAGTGGGTCAAATGTGTGCGTAAATGGAAAAAATTTTTTTTAAGAATTCATCCCTGCTTAATGAGCTCGTGTACCGTTTTTGTGCGATGAGGCTGAATTATGAATAGGAACCTATACAGTCTATGGTAGGAACAAGTGTGGCGGGCAGAGAGAGACAGAAAACCGGGATGGATTTCAAAGACAAGACTGCGACGTGTCCTTTTTTGGGAGAGCGGCAGCAAATAAGCTCCGTGTGCAGGACGCACAACGCCACGTCTCTCTGTGTGTGTGAACTATTTGGAAAAGATATTCTGCTGAAACCGCGTTTTACCACAGACCGCTCACCGCCGTCTTTACTGCCCAGCTGAAGTCATTTTGGTCGGTGTGGCCGATAACCAGAGGGTGTTGAGTTCATCATTTTTATTTAAACCCAGACCTGTTGTTTCTGTCCTGCGGTTTAAATCACTCATTTACTTCACCAAGAATGAATCCCAAAGAGAGCACAAGTATAACATAAGTGAGGGCTGAGTTTATATGTCTAATGATATATATTTATTTCCTCCTGTGGATAAACTGTCAGAATCCTCATCTTGCTTTTCAAACGCAGAGTTTTAATTGTGCAGTTTCAGCCTCAGACCAGAGAGCTCACTGTGTTAAAACATATCGTCTGCCTTCAGAGATCCGGCTGCAGTTGTGTCACAGAGTTTGAAATAAAAGAAGAGAAGGGTGGAGGTGACATTTGGGCTCCGTGCCTGCGTCTCCAGTACAAGTTGCACCCTTTATTGAAGCAGATGTTTGCTGCATGAGCAATATGATTGGTTGGTTCAGTCTCCCTCTGCCAGTGTGAGGGATCATTGGCTGAATGGTTCCTGAACTGTGTTTGAAATGTAGAGTGATCAGTGTGTTCTTTTTTTCTTATTTTAATATAATTGTAATGATCAGGAGAGATGGAAGAAAATACATTTTGAAGCAGTGTATTTTCTCAGTTTGACCTAACATCCTCGGTCATTTCCCCTCAGGTGAAGACAGTGGATTGGACGAACCGTCAATAGACAACAATCCAATCGATGGCTTCATCAAGTACAACCTGAGGAAGAGTTTGGATCTGGAGCAGGAGGGCTGCTACCTGCAGGCTGGAAAGAAGGATGGTCTAGTTGAGTGTGGCTTCAATGCCACAGCCAAGACCATCTTCATCATCCACGGCTGGACGGTACATATGAGCCAAAAACTATTTTCTATCATCATATCTAGTTGCAGTCTCTCTCCTTCTCTGTCTGGGTCATAGACGATGAACCGCAGTCTCACCTCACAGAGTGAATGTAGTTTAAGTGTTGAATGATCCGAGGGGAGAGGGCTTTGATTGTTGGAATTCATCATGTGGATGT